TTAGAAATATAAAAATCAACTTTTTTATTATCAATTATGCCCAGTTCTGCAATGACGATGGCACAAACATCAAACAGTCAGCTGACCTACCCTCCAGAAGAGGCAAGTATATTTTCAAAGATTATCTGTTTAGTAACTTTAGTTTGTAACATCATATGAAAAATGTGACTGTTTTCATTATTATCAAGTTCTGTTAATTATTAGCATACTTTTAAGTAATTAACATTATGTACATCAAAAAGTTTTCTGATACCGATATGATAATAGATATACTAATATCTGTTTTGGTGCAAGTGGACCAATTACTGCTAGGCATGTTAACAATGATATTGGAATGAATCTTTAATCCAGGTTGATGCATTGAAAATGTTGTCTATAAACCAACACAAACTTGGACATGCTGTTGAAGAAGCTTTAGAAGTCGAAGAAAAAACTACCATAAAAAAGGGCACTCTGATGGTAAGATTTAATTATTGTTACATATATTTATACATTAACACACGTTTATTTCTTACTACGTGAGAGGTGTCGACAATCTGGGGCTGAAATTATGGGTTATTTCTCATTACCTATAAAATGCATCAACTTTATGGAAGGTTAAACAGTGTGAAAACCACAGGTACTTGTGGACAGGACTAGACAGGACCCCCCCCCCCCCCCCCCGATATTCAACCCCGGGGCTTATTGGATATTTTTTTCACAAATTATATTTAATACACTTATTCATCATATGTACAGTATGAAAAAATCGTCAAAATCCCAAAACAATCGCTCCACAAAAAAATACTCCACTATACATTATCTCCCTTATAATGTATAGTGGGATATTTACTCAAGCCCTAGAGGGGCTTGAGTTATCTAAAACGATGCTAGGTCATCGATTTACTCAGTTTAAAAACACAAAAATAATATATTTTTGTAGATAAAAATATTTATAGAAACAAAAATGAAGCTTATCTTGAAAACGTCTGCATATTGAAAGATATTAAGTGTTAAATAATGGATTCTATTCTATGGCGAATGAACAATGAGTGAAGCTCCGCAGTCACAAGCAGAAGGATAAAACGTACGCTGAACTAGGACCTGAGGTCCCCTGCTCAGTTCACGACTATCGGGCCTGTTTACTCCGCTACAAAATGTAGTTCGTTGCATACGTAAAGTGAAAATAGAATAAATCGTAATACTGTGAAGCCTTTAAAGTGTAAAACAAACAACTTTTTAAAAGGAATAACCATCTGATGGGTATTAGAAAAGATAGAGGGGGTGGAGGGTGGGTGCAGAGCAACATTAACTGCAATTTTATGCGATATATGATATATAAGCGTTTAACATTTATGGATTACGTTAGGTGACCTGTGGTCTCCCCCATGATTTTATTCCATGTAACGTTATAGTACACATCAGTAGGGGACAACAGTAAGGTGATCAGAGAACAAGTAATATTGTACATCAGTAGGGGGACCAGAGGTCACCTTATATTGTACATCAGTAGGGGGACATCAGTAGGGAGAGCAAAGGTCATCTTATATAGTACATAAGTAGGGGGACCAGAGGTCACCTTAAACTGTACATCAGTAGGGGAACAAGAGGACACCTTAATGTACATCAGTAGGGGGACCAGAGGACACCTTATTTGTACATCAGTAGGAGGACCAGAGGACACCTAATATTGTACATCAGTTAGAGGACCAGTGTGTCACCTTACATAATACATCATTAGGTTGACCAGAAGTCACCTTATACTGTACATCAGTAGGGGGACCAGAGGTCACCTTATACTCTACATAAGTAGGGGGACCAGAGGGCACCTTATACTGTACATCATTAGGGGGACTAGAGGGCATTTTGAATTCTACATATGTTGGGGGACCAGAAGACACCTTATATTGTACATAAGTAGGGGACAACAGAAAGGGGGCCAGAGAACACCTTATATTCTACATCCATAGGGGGACCAGAGGTCACCTTTAATTCTACATATGTAGGGGGACTAGAGGTCACCTTATATTGTACGTCAGTGGGGGGGGGGACCAGAGGTCACCTTATACTGTATATCAGTAGGGGACATCAGTAGGAGAGCAGAGGTCACCTTATATTGTACATAAGAAGTGGGACCAGAGGTCACATTATATTGTACAGCAGTAGGGGGACCAGAGGTCACCTTAAATTGTACATCAATAGGGGGACCAGGAGTCACTTTATATTTGGGGGACCAGAGGCAACCTTATATTGTACGTCAGCTGTAGTAGGGGGACCAGAGGTCACCTTAAATTGTACATCAGTAGGGGGACCAGAGGTCACCTTATACTGTACATCAGTAGGGGGAGCAGAGGTCACCTTTAATTCTACATATGTAGGGGGACCAGAGGTCACCTTATATTGTACATCAGTAGGGGACAACAGTAAGGGGACCAGAGAACGGCTTATATTGTACATCATTAGTGGGACCAGAGGTCACCTTATATCCTACATCAATAGGGTGACCAGGAATCACCTTATATTGCACATCAGTTGGGGGACCAGAGGCAACTTTATATTGTACATTAGCTAAAGTAGGGGGACCAGAGTTCACCTTATATTGTACATCAGTAAGGGGACCAAAGGTCACCTTATATTGTACATCAGTAGGGGGAGCAGAGGTCACCTTATATTGTACATAAGTAGAGTGACCAAAGGTCACATTATATTGTACATCAGTAGGGGACCAGAGGACACATTAAATTGTACATCAGTAGGGGGACCAGAGGTCACCTTATATTGTACATCAGTAGGGGGACCAGAGGACACCATATATCGTACATTGGTAGGGGGACTAGGGGTCACCTTATATTGTACATCAGTAGGGGGACTAGATGAAACTTTATAATGTACATCAGTAGGGGGACCAGAGGGCACCTTATATTGTACATCAGTAGGGGGACCAGAGGACACTTTATATTGTACAAATGTACATCAGTAGGGGGACCAGAGGACACCTAATATTACACTTTAGATCAATAAGGGGACCAGAGGGCACCTTATAGTAGGGGACATCAGTAGAGGGACTAGAGGTCACCTTATATTGTATATCAATAGGGGGACCAGAGGTAACCTTATATTGTATATCAGTAGGGGGACCAGAGGACACCATATATCGTACATTGGTAGGGGGACTAGGGGTCACCTTATATTGTACATCAGTAGGGGGACTAGAGGACACCTTATAATGTACATCAGTAGGGGGACCAGAGGGCACCTTATATTGTACATCAGTAGGGGGACCAGAGGACACCTTATATTGTACATCAATTGTTGAACCAGGGGACATTTTTTATTGTACACCAGAAGGGAGACCTGGGGACATCTTATATTATACATCAGCAGGGGGACCAGGGTCATCTTATATTGTACATCAGTAGGGGGACCATAGGACTTCTTATTTTGTACAACAGCAGGGTGACCAGGGTACATCTTATATTGTTCATAAGTTGGGGACATCAGTAGGGGGACCAGAGGACACCTTATATTATTAATCATTAGGGGGACCAGGGGTTTCATAGTTTGTACACCAGTAGGGTGACCAGAGGTCACCTTATATTGTACATCAGTAGTGGGACCATAGGACACCTTTTATGTACATCAGTAGGGGGAACAGAGATCACCTCATATTGTACATAAGTAGGGAACATCAGTAGGGGGACCAGGGGTCACCTTATATTTTACAAAAGTAGGGGGACCAGGGGTCACCTTATATAGTACAACAGTAGGGGGCCAGGGGTTACCTTATATTGTACAACATTAGGAGGACGAAAGGACACCTTATATTGTACATCAGTAGGAGATAACAGTAGGGGGACCAGAGGTCACCTTATATTGACATCAGTAGGGGGACAGAGCCTTCAGTTCAGTTTTAACGTTCGTTACTAGGTGGACCAGAGGTAAACTAATATTGTACAACAATAAGTTGACCAAAGGTCACCTTATATGTTATTTCATTATGGAGACTTATGGTCATCTTTATATTGTACAACAGAAAGGGGACCATAGGTCACCTTATACTGTACAAAAGCAGACGTCAGATTATATTGTATATCATAAGGGGAAACGGAGGTCACCTTATACATCAATAGGGGGTCAGAGGTCACCCTATGTTGTAGATCATTATGAGGACCTTAGGTCACACTATATTGTACATCACAAGGGGGACCAGAGGTCACCTTGTATTGTACATAAATATGGAGACCAGTGGTCCCCTTTGTTGTACATTTTTAAAGAAATCAGACATAAAAAATATTATATGAATGCAGAGAGATAAAGCATCAACGATTCTAGACTCGTCTTAACCAACAGACACTTAAAAAGAAAACAAGGGCGGACCATTGGGTACAGATAAAATGCATATTAACGAGATGCTAGACGTTCACTTAAGAACACGACAAGAGGCTATGGATCTATTAGGTCATTTGAACATCTTGTAAAACTTTAAAACTTTCATTTCAAATAAGCGGTAATAATTAGCAATAATTAGTAGTGCTCATTGACCACAAAAACCCTCATCCTGAGGTCATACATTTCACAATTTTGAAAAAAAGGACCATTGTTCATGAAAAAAATTGGTTTATACGAAAGAACAAATTTCAAAGCATTAATTCAATTACAGTATTGTCTACAAATGACATGGTACCCATGAGCCAGGGGCCTTGAAATTTATCATTCTGGAAGACACTCCCTTGCTTATCATAACTATATGTAGTTAGTTTACTTAATATCCAGAAGCAGAGAGGAAGATTTTTTTTAAAGAATTAAGGAGGCTGGGGGACAACAAATTAACCACAAATTAACCATCAGTTTAACTTATTTTTTTTTTTAGATACGGTATCATAAGCTGTCAACTATCATTTGGCAAAGAATAAATTCATACATTTTAGTTTTTAAAATTTGATCATTTTTGTATATCTTTATATGGAGCTCTTCTTTTAAAGGAGATCAAAATAGTCTGAAAATGGCTGCCACTTTACAGTTTATATAGCCCCAGCGTAACACCGGAACCCCTGACCTTTGGGTCACGAATTTCAAAACTTTGGAGAGAATACCCTTCCTCATCACAACTTTGCATGTAATTAGTTTGTTTAATATCCAGGGGCAGAGGGAAATATTTTCAAAGAATAAATGCATTTCATAATTATTATTATTGTCGTTATGGGTATTTCCTGTGTGAACAGAATGATGGATCTGTGTGGTTTTTATGTCACGTGACATGGTCATATAAATAGCAGGTGCGTGCTTAAAAAGTTACTCTACCGCTCGTACAGAACGTGTAATGGAATCCAGTAAATTAGGCACACACACATATATATATGTATGTATATAAGTATTATTTAATGATTAAAAATAACGTGTGTTGAAATGAATACAAATGTGTTAAATATGTAATAAACGTTCTGACGAGCAGCATTACATACATATGAGTTGATTATTCT